GGGATGGGTACTTTGACGTTTGAATCGATTCGGTACCAATATCCGATACCTGGGAATCGGTACCAGTACTTAACGGTACCAATTTTCGATACTTTGTGTGTGTTGTTTTTCAATAATAAACTTTTATTTTTTTATTTAACATATTTCTCAATATGTAAAATTAGCAAATATCAAGACAACATCCAACTCTTTGTACTGTTACATCAGTTGTGTAGCTTATTTCTTTAAAGTGAAAATTCTTGAAAACAAGACTGTTTTGTCTTATTGCACAAATTAAAATCCAGCTCCGTGTTTCTATTGGTCATTTCCCCGCTAGAAAAAATGTGTGATGGGGGTCCATGGAAGGCAAATAAGTTTAAAGGGGACCTATTTTGCAAAATTCACTTTTTAAAGGTTTTTTTACTCAACTTTGGGTATGTACTTCTTAAAAAAACAGTCCTAGGACCAAAAAATGCACCCAGGGGCATATTTACTGTAAGTAAATGTATTTTTAATTTATATTAACGACAAGTTTTATACTTCCGTCATTTTGTGATGTCACAAGCCGTACGACAATCCACCAGAACCTGCGTTCAGCCCCTTACCTAGCAACCCCCAGGTGAGGCTCCACCTCCTCAGTATAAAAAAGCCATCACTGTGTTGTTGTGCAATGTGCCGCTCACTTCACAACAAGCCTCCAATAGGGCAATGGGTAGAGTGATGGACCAGAGAGTTGGGAGACCAGGGTTTGAGACCGGCATGGACACATTTTAATTATTTTTTTTTTTTGTTCGTTATGAACACATTTTCTCATGTACCTCTATTTTTTAGCTTATTAAAGCCTATTTGTTCGAGTTTCTGAGGTATTTCGACCGCTGCTGCTCCCTGCTCTGGTAACAGCATGTAGAGTGAGCGCAGAGTAGAGGAGGGGGAGAAAAAAAAAGAAGCTGACCATGACTCTGCCTCTGGGTCTCATATGGTTGTACAACGGAGCTTCTGCTATTGTTAGCCATGCTAACGTAAACGCTGGCTTTGGAGGGCGGAGTTAATGTCAACAGATTTTTGGAGGGCGTTACCAACAGAGCTCATTAACATAAACAGCTCTTCTGAACGGAAGTCAGAGCAGGCAGAACTAGAAAATGGGAAATTTTATTATCTGAGAATTATTTTATGCGTTAAATTGAATGAACGTGGTCTGGAAAGCCCACAGACATACCATAAAAATTTCCAGGACCCATAATTGGTCTCCTTTAAATCAAATAAGCAAAAGAGGATGGAGTTAAAATAAATAAAAGGTATTCAAGCTACATTTTGAGCATCCAAAACGTGCCCAACACTTTAGCTGGCTGCTAGTGCTCTTTCAGGTCAGACGCGTTCGGATTGTCGGCAAGTGCCTCTGTTTTTTTCCTCTGCCGGTCTCTGTTTAATGGCGGATGAAATAAAGAAAGTGRTGGTACTTTATTTACTTTGAGCAAGCGAACGTCGTGCTCACAAGATAATAAATCCACCAGATAATTCAGAAGCGATCTGTTCAGTGAGTTTTACTCCAGGAGCTGCAAGGCTTTCGGCTACGTTCAGACCGAGCTCTGCCTCTGTTTACTGTCTGAACCAGCGGCTGCGGCTGCTGACGCCATTACACCTTTGCATGATACTGCGTTCAGGATAAGCATGGAAAACTCACCACTCTTACGCCAAACCAGTCGCAATGATGCGTTTAGGCATCAAAACATGGTACCGTTTGATGTTACGTGAATAGATACTCGGTTGTACCGACAGAATTCGGTCTTTACATCAAAAAGTATCGAATTCGGTACTCATCCCTAATGAGCTGGATGTGGCCCACAGGCCACCATTTGACCAACCTTGCCATATACAGGCCACGTAAGAGACCCATGGATGCAAAAACTAATACTTTTACTAAACAAAAACAAATTCAGGCATAGCAGCAACACTCACAGACAAAGGGAAGCACAGGAATCATAACAAGACATGAGGAGACCACCAAGATCACTGGTAAAAACCAGACAATGAACCACTGATATGTGCAGGGAGCAGAGAACTGAATGTATAGGAACTGGACTGATGGGACATGAGAAACTGTGTTGGTTAAAGAGCGGCTGTCTGATTAAACTCTGAGAAGCTGGCTGAGGTAGAAATGAGATCAGCATTATGTAAATACACAAACACAAAGACATAATCTAGAAAGAAGACAAACAGAGAGGAAAAGATCTAACCCATTATGTACAGAAAATCACAAAGATATTTTAAATAACTAATAAACCCATAGAATCACAGAAATAAACAAGTCAAAACTCACAGAACACGACAATCTGGAGTTTACTCAAATAAAGATGGCTGCCACAGCTGTTTGTCATTAGCCAACACAAAAATGAACTTAGCATAGCTACTTTTATATATTTTGAGCTAAAATTTCTTTTGGTTTTGCTGAGCTTCACACGCAACACACCCTGTCATCCCTCTGGCATTCCTGTAAGGCGTGTTAGGTCTGTAATTAGATGCTGGTTTTACTGCTTTGTTTTTCTGTGTTATTCCATTGCTTTTATTTTTCACACAGTTATTTTATGTAACACTTGAGTTATAACCTGTTTTTTAAATGTGCTTTTTTAATAAATTGACTTATATTTATGTAAAAAGCAGAAAAATGTTGTAAATGTATTGCCTGATGTTCCAGTTAATTTGGCCACTCTGTGGTCGTACACCAGTCCTTTGCTTATCTATTTGTCCAGCACATTCACTTACCAGTCACTCCCATATAAAGTCCTCTGCATGGTTTCTCCACCCCACCCTCCCCGCCCCCCCTCCGTCTGGCAGCTCTAAAACCAGAGACTTCTGGCAGAAATTCAGCAGAGTATCAACAGAAATGGATGGAGGGAAGAGAAAGGGAAGAAAAGAAGCGATGAGGGATCAGGATTTGGCCTGTGGAGCAGCTGAATGGGCCAGAAAAGAGAGAAAGATGAGCAGAAACAGAGAGAGGGAGAAATAAAAGGACAGAGGGATGCAGAGAAAGAGGCTGTCAGAAGCATCACTCCTCTGTGTTCCAACAAGCTGACAGGATTTCAAGAGTCCTGCGAAAACGAAGGCTGCCAAGGCTAAATAAAACCTGATTCTGTGGGCCACAACTGGACTGCACTTGTTTTCCAGCAGACTGTCTTCAAAATGTCACAACTCTGAAGTTTACATTCTGACGCATCTCTTATTTATCTAATGCTTTCTAACACAGTGATCATCTGCATGAGCCTCCATCTCTGAGAAAAAAACAGACCTCTAATAAAAAACAAGGCCTGGCCTTCCTTAAAGCAATGCATATCACCCGCTACCTTTCATGATGCAGTTTTAAGCCAAAAATATTTTAAATATTATCTACAGTCTCATGATACTGCAAGGATGATTCTCAACTACCACATCAAACTTTAGCTCAGGTTCTGTAAAACTGACTGCAGTACTTTGTGTTGGCTAATGTGGACTGAGTCTGGCAGCCATCTTGTCTTGTGTTTACTCCATATTCTAATCAGCTGTAGACATGCGTACAGTTTTTAGTTTCCAAGTTTCTTTAACAATACACCCAGAGGTTTCTGACCTTTTTTTCTAATGCTACAAACAACCTTGTATTTCTATATTGACTTCCCTTCACGTTTAGTCATTTCTGTAGCCTGACACGAACCCTAACCCTAACCACACACGGTACACAACTACCCCGAAACCCAACTAACCTCAATTCATACCTTCATATCCCAATAGACTTCCACCATGTTAGCACCAATATTTGGTCCCCAAAG